GCTCGCTCTCCCCTCCTTACGATGAGTGAAGGGAAGGGGCGGTCACCCTAACAAGGCTGATGGGGTTCTCTCGCAGCTCCTCTCTTCTCTCGTCTCTCTCGTCTCTCCGTTTCTCCTTTCTCCTTTCTCCTTTCTCTTCTCTTCTTTTCTCCGTTTTCTCCTGTCTCGTTTCTCCTCTTCTCTCCGTTTTTTGTTTCCCGTATTTCCTCGTCCGTCCGTTTCTCCTTTCCCTTTTCTTTTCTTCTTACCGTTTCTCTTCCCATTTCTTCCCCCCCTCTCACCGTTTCTCCTTACCTATTTCTCTTCTCCCCTTTCTCCACCCCTTTTCACCTCTCTGCCCCCCACCCCCCTTCACTCCATTTTCCCTCGTAGTCTGGTATTCATCTTTCATTTATTCTATTTAAATTAATTATTTTTATATCAATGATTTCTTTCATCGCCGTCGTTATCACGATTATTACTATTATTCCTGTTCCTCCTATTTCAGTAGCAATAGTAATATTGATGCTAATACCGCTGCCGTTACTATTAACATTCGTTGAAAGCTGGAAACTTGGCATTTGCGTGCGCACATACAATCATTCGCTCACTCCCGTACTCTCTCTATCTCTCTCTCCCTCTCCCTCTCCCTCTCCCTCTCCCTCCTCCCTCTCTCTCTCTCTCTCTCTCTCTCTCTCTCTCTCTCTCTCTCTCTCTCTCTCTCTCTCTAAAATATGTGTGCATCCGTGCATCCATCCATGTTTGTCTGTATTTAAACATGTAACTAATGATACAAACACTTTAGGGGAAGATAATGGAAATTTATGTGATATAGATAGTGCATTTCGTTCTCCTTTTTTATAGTAGAGAGAGAGAGAGAGAGAGAGAGAGAGAGAGAGAGAGAGAGAGAGAGAGAGAATGGAAGTTCGGGGGGAGGGGGGGTTGTTGGCAGCAAGTGTTGGCATGAGGAGATTCGCTAGGTATGTGGGTCGCGCATGTACCGTTGTACCCCCCCCCCCTCCTTGCTTTTGGTGTTGCGGGGTAGTCAAGCTCCTCCTCCCTTCGGGCAACATGCCACGCGCGGCGACTTGGTCCAATATTGTGGCGTTTGCAAGGTGGAAGTGACCCTTATGGAGAATTGCTGGTTAGCTTGTTCTTGTTCTCGGTTAGGGAGGATTTCGGCCTTCTTGTGGATTCGGTTTGTGTGTAGACTGAGTGTCTGTTTGTGTTTATGCCTAATGGGAAATTGTGGGGGGCGGGGGGGGGGGGGGTACGAGTTCTCCACCGGCCTTGTGGAAAAGTCCCCGTTTCCATTGTGTGCACTAACGCCCCGCTTCTTCCCGCAGAGTATGGAGGCGACCAAGGCCCTGATGAACCACCACCTCGTGACGAAGCTGGAGCTGAGCCTCGAGTCCGAGTGCCGCCTGCTCCTCCAGCAGTGGACGTCGCCCCACTTCACTCACCTGTGCAAGCGGTTCCTCGAGTCCCACCACGTGCAGCTGCAGAAGCCCGTCAACCTCCCTCTGTAGTGGCTGCCGTGGGATGGAAAGAAACGAACTTCCACGACGTGTCCCTTGCTAAGAAAACACACTTTTTTGGGTGAAAAGGACTGGCTGTGGTCCAGACGCTCATTTTTTATTTTTTTTAGTGTTTCGTTTTACTTTTGGATGGTGATAGTGATACCTTTTGGGATCTTGGTGCGCCGACGCTGTACCCGCGCGCGCTCAAGTGACGAACTCTTTTTGGAAAAAAAATAAAAGTGACCGGCGATCGGTTTCTCTTCTGACGTGTCTTTTATTAATCGCGAGTCGGCCGTTGCGTCTGTGAAACGTGGAAACTGTTTTGGTGGCCGCTGGAGATTCGGTGATATTCGTTTCTCTCTCCTTTTTCTTCCGATATCGCCCTCGCCGTCGATCGCTATATATAAAAAAAGAGAGTGGAAAGGACAGTTTGGTTAAACACACTCTTTTTTTTTCTGTCAGATGTGAATTGAAAAGTTCCATTTATATATATATTCAGAGTTTACATTCAATTTGTTTCGCTGCAACATCAGGAGAGACTCCGGACAACCAAGGCTGACTGAAGACGGACGTATCAAGGGCGACAGTGACGAACAAAGCGTTGCCGGAGGAGAGAGAGAGAGAAAAGGCAGCACGCAGCTACTTGCAGGGAAGTCTGAACTCCTAACAAGATTTTGGACTCTGAAGTTTGAGGGAGGAAAGCTGTCCTCTGTGCATCCTGGTGAAAGACAGCAAAAGGATTAAAAAAAAATATTATTCCAAGGATGCGAACCTATGATTGAAAATTTTGTAAGAAGAAGAAAAATAATATTGAAGAAATAACGTGATAATAGACTAATTATTTGTGACGTCGCTGTTCAAATGCAGTGGTTTGAGGCCTTTTTGGAACCCCCCCCTTTACCCCTCCTCGGTGGCAGAACCCCCCCCCAGTCCACCTCGAGGATCATGTACAGTGTACAGTTAACCACTTGGTCGTCCTCAGCTAAAGTGGATATATTTAATAAGATATTTCTATAGTGCCCAGCAACTATACTAGGTTCAGTATGAAAAGTCTCTTTTTTTCCATGTAAGGTGTTTTAGTGTATTGGAATGTCAGTTTATGCAAATTTCTTAAGAGAAAATATATTAAAACAATAATTTAAAAAAAGCAACATTCTCATGCACTTGACACTCGTGTAAATAATAGGACTCAATTGTGCACAAGTTATATTTTCATGGGAAGTTATTTTATCGGGATGTGTTTTTGTACATCTTTCAAATGAAGTTACAAGTGTGTGATTTTGTAGTTGATTTTTATAGGATAAAAGTTGTTAAAACAAGTACAACCTATACAACTATGACAGTCCTTCAAATTTTTGTCATTGAATGTGAAATCTCATGCAATGAAAGTTATTGAATTTGATCAAATGATTTATTTTAATACCATACCATAAATGTTCACGAAATATTTACTTGTAAGAATATGACTTGATGATGTGTAAGGGAAGTGACTTGCATCAGTGGAAAACTTTTGCGTTTCTTAATTTATGTAAATATTTTAGTTCCCCCCCCCTCTCTCTTTCTTAATCCACCCCCCCACCCCACCCCTTCACCCTCTCCCCTCACCCCCCCCCTCACCCTCCCCTTATGAAGAACTTGTTTTAAATGAATTAGAAAGAAGAAAAAAAAAAGATACTGCTATTTATCCTCCCAACATGTATGTTTGTGTTTCCAAGTCTCCTATATTATTATTTTTTTCTCCTGTATTTAGCCTAGTCAGATACCCAAAATATCATTTACTTCAGCTATTGTATTGATTACTCGACGTCCTGTGACTCTGGTCGGACGCTGTTTTAAACTAGTTATTGTTCGGGGCAGAGTTGATCGGATTGTGCTCTTCTTAGTTTTGATTTTCTTCTTCTTCTCTCTCTCTCTCTTCTTTTCTTTTTTTTCTTCCTTTTTTCTTTCTTTCATTTTTTTTCTTTCTTTCCTTTTTTCTTTCCTTCCTTTTTTCTTTCTTTCCTTTTTTCTTTCTTTTCTTTTTTCTTTCTTCCCCTTTTCTTTCTTTTCTTCTTTCTTTCTTGCCTGTTTTCTTTCTTCCTTTTCTCTCTTTCTTCCCTTTTCTCTCTCTTCCTTTCCCCTTTCTCTCTCTTCCTTTCCCCTTTCTCTCTCTTCCTTTCCCCTTTCTCTCTCTTCCTTTCCCCTTTCTCTCTCTTCTTTTCCCCTTTCTCTCTCTTCCTTTCCCCTTTCTCTCTCTTCCTTTCCCTTTTCTCTCTCTTCCTTTCCCCTTTCTCTCTCTCTCCCTCTCTCTCCCTCTCTCCCCCTCTCCCCCTCTCCCCCTCTCTCTCTCTCTCTCTCTCTCTCTCTCTCTCTCTCTCTCTCTCTCTCTCTCTCTCTCTCTCCCCCTCTCTCTCTCTCTCTCTCCCCCTCTCTCTCTCTCTCTCTCCCCCTCTCTCTCTCTCTCTCTCTCCCCCTCTCTCTCTCTCTCTCTCTCTCCCCCTCTCTCTCTCTCTCTCTCCCTCTCTCCCTCTCTCTCCCTCTCTCTCCCTCTCTCTCTCTCATATTCTTTCTTTTGTCAGTATCGTTATTATCATCATTATTGTTTTTTTTTTTTTTTTTTTTTTTTTTTTTTTTTTTTTTTTTTTTTTTTTCTTTTTGTTACAACATGTACTATTACCACTGTTACTCTTTCTATCCTATACCTTTCTTTTTTTTCTATGGCTGATTTGACTCCTTGCAATTGATTATTTCTTCTCCATCTGTCTTTCTTCCGAATTTTCCAGGTACGAGGAGAAATTTCGAGCACTTATTTGAGAGTTTACTTTTTCCCATTTGAATCAATATTCTTTTATTTTTTATTTTTTTTTGTGTGTGTTTTTATCTATAACAAACTCCATCATCTTCGTCTCATTCGTTTACAAAATTGATTTGCTCTCAACTAGGAATACTTTGACCTTATTCTGTAGTTCCCCGATCGATAACGGGAATTCTTTTGTTTTTATTTATCATTATTTATTTATTTATATTTTTTTTTTGCAGCCAGACTTTTTCTTTCAAATCAAAGAGTGGCATTGCAACAGATCTCAGTGAATTTCCCAAAGTACAATCTATATCTACTTGCACCAACGTTTTATGACGTCATCAGGCATATGTGCCCACCCCCCCCCTTTCCTCGTGTCACTTTAGTTTTGTAGTACACGACCCATTGTACATACTTATACTGTTTGTAAGTATAAATACATGCATATTTTCACCAGTATGTGGCTTGTTTTCATTTATCCTTCTGTGTTGGATTTCGTAGTGATGGAAAGTGGTTGAGAATAGATGTGTTGGAAGGTTAGAAGAATGAGCAGGATTATATGCATTCTTGAAGCAGGTAAGGAAAAAAAGGTCTTGTACAAGCAGGATCGGACAACGTTATAGAAAGAGAATTAAAAACGGGTTGAAACAGAACAGGTTATCAAAAATGGATATATATTTTTGGAGCAGAAAAAGATAATTTCCGAAAAAGACGTTTATTAAGTAAAGTACCCAAAGTTTTAACATTGGTAGCCTGACTTTTCGCCGGCCTTAAAATATTGCTTAGAAAATACACAGTCCTCTCAGTCAGTCATGCTGCTACTTTGCTTTGGACAACAAAGCAAGTTCAGCGTAACTTACGGATGGCCTCTTGCAACTGTACATAACTCTAGGATATGCACAAAGAGGCCACCACAGAACACACAACTGTACGTGCTTTTACAAAGAACATCGCTAGCTCCCAAAAAATCGCTGAAAATTGTTTAGATTAATGGGTATTTTCATTTCACTTTGTGGTATTGTAGGATTTCTTATTCAAACACACAGCACTTTACTTACACGGGCGCAGAATCTCACGCACCATAGAAATGTGGAAATTATTTTGCCGTACATTTTCCACGCATATATACACAAAAGAATAAAACATTTGGTTCCGGTCATAAAAATACATTAAGAAAAATATAACCATAGGGAATGTGATTTTGCTGGAACTCATGGTCCAGTTACTAAAAAGTGAATAACGAGCCAATATGCAAATAGCTACTGGCCTTCTTGCTCCGTGAAGATGTTTCGGTATCAAAATAGATCTTCCCTCGAGCTCTCTATATTTATATTATATACATGCACAACGAGCAAATCAGTACACTGGTATCAAAAGCTAACTACATAATCATTTTATATTACATTATGAAGGATACAGTTTTAATTCATTTTTTTTAATGTTCCTTTGGGAGATGCAAAGGAACGTTATTGTGTACAAAGAAAATACGCATTTTGTAAAAAAAAAAAGAAATCAGTCTGGCTTCTGGAAGTGATTTGTCGTAGTTATCGTCTGCAGAACTTTTACCCTGCACAGATAAAGCCGCGCTGTATCACCTTTCATTTTAAACCAAGTCCACCGCTAGGCTGTCAGTGCCAGTCGGACCAGTCCATATCGTCCGAGCGGTACGAGTCCCTGCCGCTAAGAGCCTCGTCAAAGGCATCGCGTCTCTTCGTGATGGCCGTCTTGAGGATGAGGGAAATGTCGTTGAGCGAGTGTTCGGGGATGTGAGTCAGGTCAGAGAGCGCCGCGGGTCGGACGGGTCGCAGCCTCTGCTTCTGACTCAACAGCTGCTCCGAAGTCACGACCAAAGGCCCGACGCGCGACCCGGACTCTGCCCTGCGCACCTCTGGCGACCGAGCTCGGGGCCGTCGCTGGGGACTGCGGGACGATCGCGGCCACCTTTCGGGGCTGTGGCGGAAGTCCGCGTCTAGGTGGCGGTCCGAGGAGCGCCTGCGCTCGGGACTTCGCGGACTAGGGGAGTACCTGCTGCGTTCTGGAGAGCGTCGCCTCGGGCTGGAAGAGTACCTCCTATCGCGCTTTTCGAGTCGCGGGTCCTCTGGTTCGTCCAGGACGTGGTTGGAACCCCCGGAGCTGCTGCCCTCCAGGCTCGTCCACGATTCGTTGGGACTCTCGCCCAGGCTGTCTCTACTGTCGGCCAGCCGCTCGCGACTCTCGGTCTGGCGCTTCAGCCGCGCTCTCTTGTCGCCGGACAGCTGGCGCTCGCGGTTATATGGTTTCTTGTATCGGATTTCCCGTCGGAGTTCCGAGTGTCTGTCGGTGCTGCTGAAGCGCCTCTCGTTGCTGCTTGAGCGGCGGTCTCGCTCGTCGCTGGTTTCCAGGCTGGCGGCTCGTCTGTCGCGCGAGTACATTTGCTTGAAATTCCTGCTTCTCTCCACGATCTGTTTGGGTTCTCGGCGCGGCCTGTTGGCCCGCCTGTCGTCCCGTCGCTCGCGGCCGTCTCGGACTTTGCTGCTGTCGCGGTCTCTGCTCTCCTGCCGCCGATCCCGCGTGTCTCGCCCCTGATTCCAGCCGCGTTCCTTCTTAGTCCTTATCTCTCGCTCTCGGCTTCCTCTGTCTCGCTCCTTGTCCGGGCTGCGCCTGTCGCTGCGCCGTCTATCGCCTCGCTCTTTGCTCTCGCCGCGCCGCCCTCTGCCGCGCTCGCTACTGACTCCCTGCCGAGGCACGCGCTGGTCTATACTGTGATCTCGACTCGCTACCCTTCTGCCGGAGTCGCTGACGGGGGGACGAGACATCTTGTCCGGCGATCGGCGCCGGCCCTCGTCCCTTGGCACCAATTCCCGCTGCCGCCCGCGGTCTGGACTGCGGGTCGTGGGCTGAGGAGGAGCGAGGACTTCCCGCGGACGAGGCTGTCTGCTGGGAGATGAGCGTCGCGCTGGCGAGAGGCGGCGGGTCGGGGAGACGTTCGGCGGGGAGCGGGAGGCGTCGTCTGCGATTAGAATTTCACTGGTTAGTCTCACATCAGCCGAGAGAAATCGACTAAAACATGATAGAGATGATGATGACAACAATAATATTAAAAACAATAACAGAAACACTAACAGCAAAACAATAACAGATCAAATACAACAAAATAATGAGAAATCATCTTCATTTCCAACAAAGTAATAACGAGACTTAACAGCAAGAATTAAAGCTTTTTTACGCCCCACTCACCTCGCGCTGGGCGGTAGCGGGCAGGATCAGACGTCCCCATACCCATCGCCTCAAGGACCTCCGGAATGTGGCGGTCTCTGGGTAAGTTATCTATTTCGTTATTTCTGATCGCTCTCTGCTGCTGCAACTGCCGCCGTATCAATTCCACACTTTCCTCTACAACTCCAATGATAGTTCTGTTGGAAGGAGGCAATGTATAGTGTACGGTCATGTAATTTGAGCAGATGAAAAAAATATTTGACCCAACCGGATTTATGTTCTGTCCCCTGTAGTTTTTTTTGGTGAATTTTGTTGCATACAGATGGCTCCACATGTGCTAAGCCGGCAAGGAGTCAATCAGTAGGCCGATCCTGATTTCCCCATTCCTTTAAATGGCGGGAAAATTTGTTTTTCTTTTTAATATAGTTGATATTTTGAGACTATACCTATGATGTTATGATTATTACATTGTTATTTCAATCTCGATAACGTTTAAGACAATGAAATAATGCAAAAGACTCTTTCCAAAATTCGAGAGAAAGGGTAAACAGGTGAGATACGTAAGGCTAATAACTGACTCCCTGGTGACTAAGCCATCTGTGTGTAGAGCCATCTATGTGTAAATGCAATAAATAACATGTATTACAACGGGCATAGCATGTAATCTTGCCGTACGTGCCGATTGGGCTGAAAGGCTACAAGAATAACGTATCTTTCGGCATTTAACATTCCTAAATGTTTTAATCCTGATAATGTGTATATATATATATATATATATATATATATATATATATATATATATATATATATTTATATATAAATTTCGTGCAAAAAACGTACGAACTCTTAATGTTGATTGTTAGAATGAATTATGAAAAAGTAAAATTCAAAACATCGAAAAAGTAAAATTCTAAAGTTACCCATACCCATTTTCTCTTTCAAAGAAAACGAGAGATCCTAATTCACAGGTAACTAATATAAACCTCACAATTTTCCCTAGTTTGCAATATAACTGAATTCATAACAAGATTAATTCTTCATTTCTTTCACTCCAAGACTCCTGAAATGATTACCTAGCAGCACCAACATCAGCAAGTAAAGACGGGCCGATGTTAGCATTCTGCAGGACTCCACGCCAGGAGGTGGGGACCGCGGCAGAGTCCAGTGCTCCAAGGATTTCCTCAAAGCTCGGCCTCAGGGAAGGATTTTGAGCCCAGCAGGAGGTAATTAGCTCCTTTAGTTCCCGCGACACTCCGGCGACAGGGAGGTGGGGACGGCCGCCCGATTCAATGGTTTCCATAATCTGAGGGGAAAGGAGAAAGGTATGGTTGGGTTAGTAATGGGAGATCGACAGAACGGAGGAAATATAGCCTGAAATACTTTATCAATAGTACTGTTGTGAAAATAATCATTCATCAATAGTGTAGCACTACAGAATGAATAGCATCTACTGATAATAAATCATAAGGAAAATGACATTACAATAGTAGTAACACCACCATTAATCAGAATAGGAATTACACCATCAAAAACATTAGAATTTAAATAACCCTGAAAACAAAATCATTTACATAACACTACCTCCCCCTAAAATAACAGATAAACAAACAGATATAGCAAATAAACCAACCAGCCAACCAACCGACCAAGAAAATCAAGAAATACACAATTATAAAAATAAACAGACCTGGAATATATCTAAGCCTCTGAAGGGGTGGCTAGCCGTCAACATCTCCCACAGGATGATGGCGTAACTGTATACATCACACTTGGCAGATACGTCTCCCTTCGTCAGGAGTTCTGGTGCCATCCAAGCAGGTGTGCCTCTGTTGGTGGATTAAATGAAGTTAGTTCTGTGTGATTATCTTTTTAGTTTCGTTTCAAATTATTTTACTAGTCAGTGCTATGTGACCGTTGATGTTAACCCCTTGGTGCCGGGTATGACGTGTACGTACGTGCTATGCCCACAGTGAGTACTTGTTTGATTGTTTTTATGCATAGATGGCAACACTTGTACTGACTCCCCAATGAGCCAGTTACGAGCACCGCCCGGCTCGCCTGTTTACTCGTTTCTTTGATTTACAAAATATTTTACGTAATCTTATTTTGCTGTTACTAATGTTAAAAAAAAAATATAAAAATTATAATGTTTATGATAAATATAACACCATCGATTTTCATAGCACTAGTGAAAAATACGTTTTTCCCGCCATTTAAATCAGGCGCTAGCAGAGCCATCTATCGGCTGACATTTCACGAAAAACATAGAAAGTGGGCACAATATTTTCCCCATTTTTTGTTCATTTTCCCCGGCACCATTGGGTTATTTGATTATCTTTTGTTTCAACATCTTTGAATCCTTGTATCCTTGAATCCTTGACAGCATTAACAAAAAAGCAAAAAAAAAAAAAAAATCAATCCCACACACAAAATAATAACAGACAAACGAGCAAAGAAATAAACGCCAAGAATCCGACCTGATAGAGCCACGCTGAGCCGGCGACCCCGCGCGAGACCGCTTCAGGATGGAGAAGCCGAAATCTGCGATCTTGGCCCGGTAGTACGAATCGAGGAGCACGTTCATGGACTTAAGGTCTAAGTGGAGAACCTGCGGAGAACGTAGATAAGATAATAAGGTTTAAAAAAGGGGTGGAAAAAGAGGAAAGACGAAAGAGAAAGAGTAAAAAGGGAAAAAGGAAAAAAAAGAAAAGAGAAAAGAAAAAAAAGGAAATAAAAAAAATATATATACATATATAAATATATACATATATACAAATGTATGCATATATTTACATATATATGTTTTTGCTTACTTATCGTCTGTTCGCGTAATTGTTTCATACATATTCATATACATATTTTGTATTCATTACATTCATAGATATTTATCTACTTATTTTCCTTCATTACCCCTTCATCTCCCCTGCCAAAAAAATAGCAGAACGAAATAAAAATCACCCCAAAAACACCCTTAACCTTCAGACTCCAACGAAGCAAGACGAATGAAGCTAATTAAGAGAGGAGCCAACAGGTGCGAACTCACTCACCTGAGGTTCGTGTTTGTGGAGGTAGTTCATGCCTTGAGCCACGTCTTTCGCCACCACAAAGTAAGCCGCGTGGTCCAGCTTGTCACGCCTGAGGAAGAAAAAAATAGCAGATTTACATTGACATATATAGTATAAGCACGATGTAGTTAGAAAAGTGGATAAGTAAGTTAGATAAACAGTTAGATAAGTAGTGGGAGATAGATAAATAGATAGATAGATAGAGATAAATATGTAGATAAAGATACGTGAAATATTAACTAAGATCGTCATCGGAATCTCTAATAATTGCCATCAAATATAACAATGGCAGCGTGAAAAGTTATAGTGAATCGCATATATGATAACATGATCACAAATGCCATATTAATGGAACCGTCAACACAACAAATGAAAAACGGAGATAATTATGTTAATTATCCTGACAATATAATAAAAACATCAATAATAATATGAAAATACGTTTACTAATATGGTTATTATCTTTTCTACAACTCATAAAATAACGACAAAACCAACAAACATGTTCGTTTCATGCCAAACTGCAACATTCTATGCTCACATGCTTTAGTAATTTCACATAATTGGTCAGTGCGCTGGAAGACCCGTGTTTACATTAGTTTCCCCTAAACCTCGTTTTCTTTGAACAATAACACGGTAATTGGCGAAGTTTGCGCTGTTTCCGTGCACGAAATCTCTCTAAAACAGATCAGAACCTTTTATTCTAACTTGTTGAGAAATTCGTACATTTAAAACGAATTAATAAAAGGGTTTAATTTTCTATTGGGTAGATAAGGTACATGGAGTTAGTCAAATGCGGAGGCTTTTACCGCAGATTCAAAAACATACATACGGACTGACTGTATGACATATAAGCATCGACCCATTTCTTAGCTTAAACAAAAGCAGTAAACTGTGAGACACTTAACATCCACACACACGCACGCACGCACGCGCACACACGCACACACACACACACACACACACACACACACACACACACACACACACACACACACACACACACACACACACACACACACACACACATACATACATACACACATACACACATACACACACACACTATATGTATATATACATATATATATACATATATATACATGAATATACATATATATACATATATATACATATATATACATATATATACATATATATATACATATATATATACATATATTTACATATACATATATTTGATATATATAGATATATATACACCTATATTTACATATATTTACATATACATATATTTGATATATATGTATATATATACATATACATTTATATACATACATATACAAATATATATACATATATATAGACATATACATATATATATACACCCATATGTACATATATGTACTCCATATATACACAGATATATACACAAATATACATACACACCTATATATACACAAACATACATATGAGTATAAATCTATCTGTATATGCACATATGTATATATATATATATGTATATATATGTATATATGTATGTATATATATATATATATATATATACATATGTATATATATGCATATACATAAATATATATAAATACATATATATAAATACATATATATAAATATATATAAATGCATATATATACACATACATATGTATATACATATATACATATATACACATATAGGCATATAAATATATACACATACACACACACACACACACAAATAAATATATATATATATATATATATATATATATATATATATATATATATATATATATATATGTATATATATGTATATATATATATATAAATATATATACATACATATACATATGTATACATATGTATATATATACACACATTTATACATATACATATATATATATATATATATATATATATATATATATATATATATATATATATATATATACATATATATATATATATATATATATATATATATATATATACATACATAAACATACTTATACATATATACACATGCATATATATACATATACATATGTATATACATACATGTATATACACATATATATACATATATACATACATATACATGTATATGTATGTACATATACATGTATATATATACACATGCATATACATACATGTATTTACATGTACATTTACATATATATATATGTATATACATATGTATTTACACATGTATATACACATGTATATACACATGTATATATACATGTATATACACACATGTATATATATATATATATATATATATATATATATATATATATATATATATATATACATGTACATATATGCTTATATGTATATATACATGTATATATGCATGCATATATATATACATATTTGACACATGCCTTTACATATATATATTTACACATTTTTACACACACACATCTATATCTATATCTATACACATATATATCTATATATCTATCTATCTATCTATCTATCTATCTATATATATACATATATATATATATATATATATATATATATATATATATATATATATATATATATATACACTTACCTATACTTACTTAGATATATATACTTACATATATATATTTACACATATATTTACATATATATAACATATATAAATACATATATACACACAATGCATGTATGTTTGTGTTTGTTTGTGTGTGTGGCGCCATGTTTCACGCTGTCGAGCTCTGCCCCAGAGGAATCGAAGTATTTGCATATTGAACCATACAAAGGTTTTAATGAGTCTGATTTTTATTTGCATTAAGAGCTTGCGGTCTGTTAAGATGTTCCGGACTTTGGAGAATGGATCTTTTGCTAGTCCGATTCTGCATCTAATTTCCTTCTTGCACCGAGTATCTATGGTGACAAGAGCTCCTAAATAACTGAAGGAGACCTAATGGATTTCTATTTCACCTCGTTTTAATGGACCAGTTTGTAGGAACTCCGGACTTGAAGCCATCATGCATTTTGTTTTCTTGCTATTAACATGGAGGCCAAGATGCTCGCTGGCCTCCACAACAGCATCAAAAATCTGTTTGGGATCACTTACAGATGTGCCCTTTGGAAATGTATCATCTGCATAACAAATGTTGTTGAACTTACAATCACTGGTAACGATTTCCCCTGGTGATCTTCAATCTCCCGCAGGATAACTTAAATGATGAAGTCATGATATATACATTTACATGTCTATCTGTGTGTGTGTATATATATATGTATATATATATATATATATATATATATATATATATATATATATATATATACATATATATATATATATATATATATATATATATATATATATATACATATATATATATATATATATATATATATATATATATATATATAATATATTTATATATATATATATATATATATATATATATATATATAATATATATAATATATATATGTGTGTGTGTGTGTGTGTGTGTGCAGTGTTTATGTATATACAAATTAATATATCAATATAAACCTACATGTATATACATATGTATATATATATATTTATATATGAATATATATATATATATATATATATATATATATATATATATATATATATATATAGTTGCAGGGCGATTGTTAGAGAGTATTATCAAACTTTATAGTAAACAATCTAAATAAAAAGAAACGCTCATTTTATGCAAAAAGTAATATTAATTGTCACCTGAAACCCATCCATTAATCTCAGTGAATTCATTTTTTAATGTAGGCCATTTTTCGAAAAAAATATTCTCATTTCCTGTAGATAGTTTAAGACCAGTTTTACATTGATAATAACCCATTAGTGCGGGAAATATGTGGTAATAATTTTTCTTTTCTTGTGTGTGTGTAATTTTGTGTTGGCATACATTATGTAAATGACTTCTAAATTATTTACGTACGTAATCAATTTAACTCATACTAACCACTACCACCACATTCACAACAATGCTGAAAAATCAAAACAAGGAATTCTTATTGCACGCTGCAAGCACCTTGCAACATGTCCCTATGGCGCAGTGGAAAGCGCGCTGGACTTCTAATCCAGAGGTCGTGGGTTCGAATCCCACTGGGGATGAACCTTCCACTCGAAGGTTCAATACTTTACACACGTGATTATGTGCTGATGACTGAGAGTACTAAATGACCAGTTTACAGTACTTAAGCTTGTTGTTAGCACTGTATAACTGTGTGTTTAACAGTAAGTACAGAAGTGATAACATTCTGTAGCTGTCAAATATGAACAGCAATTTTTTTTATTTTATTTTAATCAAGATGTATATCGCTAAACATATGGAGAAAATCGCCTTTGGATATATCATCATATTATGCAGGAGTATCAGTAGTTAGTAAACAAGCAGTATTATGAGCAAACCTCATTTACTCAAATTATGAATATAGTAATAACATTGCCATATTTACTAACTTTGGTCCTGCAATATCAAAGGAATACAAAAAAAGCTTACTGATAACGATAATATTTCCCACAATACCAACAATGGGAACAACATGAAAGTAACCTCAAATACGTTTGACTTAAAATTCGGCAACTTTGTCACATCAGTCAAATAAAACATTCCACAAGTCAAAACGCCATCAACTGCAACATAATCGAGTATTGTTTGCCAGGTGAAGTTCATAGTGGCAACACGCACATCCTGTTGTTGACACGTGGCCAGTGCTTGCGTGGATCAATGTTCCAGACTATATTTCCCACAAGCATCAAGTGCTTTTAAATCGTACTCCATTCTCTCTCTCTCTCTCTCTCTCTCTCTCTCTCTCTCTCTCTCTCTCTCTCTCTGAAGGCTTTGTCTGTCTCCCTGTCTTCCTATCTCTGTCTTTGTCTCTCTCTCACTCGTCGCTAACTGTCTGTCTCTCTTGCTTGCTTGCTCTGTTTCTTTCTCTCCAGGTATTTTTATGTATTCCCATATCTCCCATATGTGTGCGTATGTATACAAAGGGAAGGAGTTCCTGTATATATTTTTATATATACTTTATATATATATATATATATATATATATATATATATATATATATATATATATATATTATATATATATACATATATTTATATATATACATATATTTATATATATATATATATATTTATATATATAAATATATATGTATATATTATACATATATGTATATTTATATATATATGCATGTATATGTATATATGTAGGTATATGTATGTATATGTATATAGGTCTATATATCTTATGTATGTACATGTATATAGGTCTATATATCTTATGTATGTATATATTTATGTATGTATGAGTATGTATATATTGTATATACACTCATATACATATACATAAACATATATACATATACATATACACATATATAAGTATATATATACATGTATATACATATATACACACATATACACGTATATACATATATACACACATACACGTATATAAATATATACACATACACTTATATACATATATACACATATACAAATACAAGTATAAACATATATACATATATATAAGCATATATACATACAATTATGCATACATATACATATATATACATGCATACATATACATATACTTGCATATATACATATATGTATGTATATGCATATATACATGTATATACATGTATATATGTATGTATCTATTTATATGTGGCTGTACGTATGTACACTTATATACATATATACACATATACAAATACAAGCATAAACATATATGCATATATATATACGCATATATACATACAATTATGCATATATATACATATATATACATGTATACATATACATATACATTTATATATACATATATGTATATAAGCATATATGTATTTACATATACACGCCTATATGTATATGTTTATATGCACATGTCTGTAGGTATATACACATAAATATATTATATATATATTTATGCATATACATATATATTCATATATATTGGTCCTTGTTGGTGCAGGAACATTATACAACCCCGTGTGAAATCAGGTCAGGATAACCTACGATAGAGTACAGTATATTTACCTAAGCTCAGTTAGTTTAAATTCTAAGTCACAGCTTTTACATATAGTCCCTTCTATTACGGGAATCAAGTGATATTCCTAACGAGTCATCAGTCCTTTACAATTCAAGATCATAGGGATTTGACATGTGCTTGCAAGCAGTGGAATCCATGTCCCCATGGCGCAGTGGAAAGCGCACTGGACTTCTAATCCAGAGGTCGTGGGTTCGAATCCCACTGGGGATGAACCTTCCACTCGGGAGGTTCAACACTTTACGTAAGTTGCGAAGAGAGAGGCAGTTCGTAATGGCTGGTTTCAGCTATTATAAGCTGCTCAGTTGCATTGTATGTCGTAATTCTTAAACTGGGTGGATGACTGCTGCAATATATATATATTTTTTTCAACATGAAGGCCATCCTTTGAAGAATAAACGATATGTTGATAAACGTAACGAAGAAAAAATAGTAAACAAAAGTAAAAAAGTAAAAAGTAAAAAAAAAAAAAAAAAAATGTACAGTAAAAATGTGCAATCCCAAATGACCTTAAGCGCTGTTGCCACATAATTCAAACGCTTTTTTTTCTTGTCGAAGATAAAAGTACCGTTTCTTTTCTCTCTTCTTCGTTCAGCTTCAGTTAATTGTTACAAATTACCTCCATTCATCAAGAGATGTTGCAGGAAAGGGGGGGGGGGAGATCGATAATAATTATACTCACAAGACGTGACCAACGCTTGATAAAAATGCTATACGTGAGTTATGCTTGCGACTCTCCAGTTGCTTGCAAAGGAGAGGGTAGGAACGGGAAAAGCTTAGATTGCAATTATAGAAAAATAGATTTTATCCCTTGCCGTCCTTGCATAATGAGAGTAACATACTGCATTATAGTTAAATCAATTTGAGGTCGCATTTCAACCGTCAAGGCTGGACACAAACATAACATCGAAATTAAAATACAAACGCAGTAAACACGACAAAGTAAACACAAGACTCCAATAAGCTAAAGGAATTCCAAACTTTGAACCGCCTTTATTACTCCTTTTATAAACAAATATGAGAATATAATGGGTGGTATTAACCCAACAAACAGTACAAGAGAGATCACACCACACCAATGCACATCTTAAAGTCAGGAGCACTTTATAACAAAAGAAAGTATCTCTGAAAACCATAGACTCACCTCGACTATCAACAATACAGAATAATCAATGGAAAAAAAAATGAATGAAAGCAGCGCCATCTACTCACGGGGAATTATGAATGAGGTTGTAGAGCGTCCCACCCGCCAGGTACTCCAGGAGCATGAAAGGTCGTGCAGCGGTCGTGCACACGCCCATCATAAGGACGACTCGCGGGTGGTGCAGCTGCTGTAGGAGAGCAGCTTCGGAGCGGAAGTAATTCTTGTCGTCCTGTAGGTGTCATGGAGGTCAAGAGGTCAAGCAGTCAAGGGGGGTCAAGAATGTCAGGGTGAGGTGAGGTCATGAACTCTTTTTTTTTCCATACAGAGGTCGTTCATGTTTATATATAAATATATAAAAAAGAGTCGTGAAGAAAGCATGGTAAGAAGTCATGTGTTTTATGATCTTGTCCGGATATTTTTTTAAGTCGTCCGTATGTCTCAAAAAAGGAGAAAAAATGTGAGTAAAATAACAAACAAACGAAAAAAAACAAAGCTATTAACATAAACACAAAGTAAATTGGGAAAAAAACAAAGAAAATACTAACACTGCTACTGCTTATGATTACCAGTAACGATAATAACAATGACAACACACGGTCACAAATAACGAAAAGAAAAATGGACTTGAATACAACATAAAAGCAAAATAAAAACAAACTTAACCACCAGTTTAAAACGACGAAAATATCCGTAATGACAACAGAGAACAACTGACAAAGCAAGTAACTGATCATTGTTTCATGTGTGTGTTTTGCCATTGCACGAAACTGCAATTATCCGTCTAAGACCTACAATATCCCCCGTGAACTTTGTAAAAACATTGTTCTCTTTCATGCACTGTCTTGTAATATGTTTTTTTTCACATGCACTTTTATGAATGTCTGAAAGTGTTCCGTTATTCCTTTCTTGTTTGGGAGTGATCGTTATCGTCAATTCTCTTTCATTCGTCAGGACCTTCTGTATAATCTGTGAACTTTTTTGTTCTACACTCTCTCCATGTATTAACTGAACATTTCGTTTCTGAATGTAGCATTTAGGTTTTATTTCACCCGCATTATAATACGAGCATTAACACAAGGTCTATATTAGTTGACTGCATTAACCATCCGTCCCTCTCTTAAACAGGGCCTTCCTCCTCCTTGCTCTCATAAAGCTAATCTTATCAACTCCCTCCACTCCTTCCCACTCCCTCCCACCCCTTCCGAGTCCCTCCTACCCCTACCATTCCCTCCCACTCCCTTCCACTCCCTCCTATCCCTACCACTCCCTCCCACTCCCTGCTTCCCGCTTCCCACTCCCTCCTACCACCTCCCATCCCCTTCACACCCCCTCCCACCCCCTCCCCACTCCCTCCCCACTCCCTCCCCACTCCCTTCCCACCCCCTCTACCCCCCACCGTACCTGCGAGAGCTTGAATTTCAGCTCCTTCACCGCCACGTCCGTCCCGCAGTAGTGTCCTCGGTACACGGTGGAGAAGGACCCCTCGCCCACCACGTCTCCAGGGCGCCACTCCACGTCCGCGGCGGCGATCTCGCACTTGTTGAGCACGTCTCCCGACCGAAGGCGCTCCAGCTCGTTCTCCAGACTCCTGAAGATGCGGGAGGCGAGGGAAATGGGGAGAGCGCGTTAAACGTGGGGAAAGGATGCACAAAAAAACAGATAGAGGGATAGGTGAGTGAGTGAGTGAGTGAGTGAGTGAGTGAGTGAGTGAGTGAGTGAGTGAGTGAGTGAGTGGGTGGGTGAGTGAGTGACTGAACGAGTGAGTGAGTGGGTGGGTGGGTGAGTGAGTGAGTGGGTGGGTGGGTGAGTGAGTGAGTGAGTGAGTGGGTGGGTGGGTGGTTGGGTGAGTGAGTGAGTGAGTGAGTGAGTGGTTGGGTGAGTGAGTGAGTGAGTGAGTGAGTGAGTGAGTGAGTGGGTGGGTGGTTGGGTGAATGAGTGAGTGATTGAGTGGGTGGGTGGGTGGGTGAGTGAGTGATTGAACGAGTGAGTGAGTGGGTGGGTGGGTGAGTGAGTGATTGAACGAGTGAGTGAGTGGGTGAGTGAGTGAGTGGGTGGGTGGGTGAGTGAGTGATTGAACGAGTGAGTGAGTGAGTGAGTGGGTGAGTGAGTGAGTGAGTGAGTGAGTGAGTGAGTGAGTGGGTGGGTGAGTGAGTGAGTGAGTGAGTGAGTGAGTGAGTGAGTGAGTGAGTGAGTGAGTGAGTGAGTGAGTGAGTGGGTGGGTGGTTGGGTGAGTGAGTGAGTGAGTGAGTGAGTGAGTGGTTGGGTGAGTGAGTGAGTGAGTGAGTGAGTGAGTGGGTGGGTGAGTGAGTGATTGAACGAGTGAGTGAGTGAATGAATATGTAGACAAGCAGATAGGTAGGGGGATTGAGATACATGGATGGATGGATAGCTAGAGGATTAGATATAAGCAGATATGGCTACATTATTCGGAAAAGGGTAATTTGGGGCAGGAATGAATCTATATATATGCTGTTATAAATAGGAGACGAAGATTAAGATAGAGAGGAAGAAAAAGTGAAGGAATTGATAGATTACGAAAGCAAGAATAAAGTAGATAAGAAATTTGATTGAAATGATGCAAAGAAAGAGTTAATATATACAATAAATTGCCAATAAACTATTATGATCTACAATGAAAAAGGAAAAAAAAGAAAAGAAAATACGAGGACAAAAAAATAAATCAAACCTGATCTGTTGACGATGTTGTTTCGTCTGCGATACCATCTGGGTCAAGAGGTCACGCTTGCTCAAGGTCATCGACATCTTGCCTGACCCTTCCTTCTTCCCTCCTCCGCCTGTGCTTCCTCCTCCTCCTCCTCCTCCTCCTCCAGAGCCTCCTTTTTTTTTTTTTTTTTTTTTTTTTTTTTTTTTTTTTTTTTTTTTTTTTTTTTTTTTTTTTTTTTTTTTTTTTTTTTTTTTTTTTTTTTTTTTTTTTTTTTTTTTTTTTTTTTTTTTTTTTTTTTTTTTTTTTTTTTTTTTTTTTTTTTTTTTTTTTTTTTTTTTTTTTTTTTTTTTTTTTTTTTTTTTTTTTTTTTTTTTTTTTTTTTTTTTTTTTTTTTTTTTTTTTTTTTTTTTTTTTTTTTTTTTTTTTTTTTTTTTTTTTTTTTTTTTTTTTTTTTTTTTTTTTTTTTTTTTTTTTTTTTTTTTTTTTTTTTTTTTTTTTTTTTTTTTTTTTTTTTTTTTTTTTTTTTTTTTTTTTTTTTTTTTTTTTTTTTTTTTTTTTTTTTTTTTTTTTTTTTTTTTTTTTTTTTTTTTTTTTTTTTTTTTTTTTTTTTTTTTTTTTTTTTTTTTTTTTTTTTTTTTTTTTTTTTTTTTTTTTTTTTTTTTTTTTTTTTTTTTTACAGCTCTACTTGCCGGAGACTCTGTCGACGGCGCTGACTTTCTCTCGGGGGAAATCACCTGCAAAATGTTTTTTTGTGTGTGTTTTTAACAATATTCTTTTCGATTTTTTTTGTTTAATTCTGTTCCTTCTTTATTATTTATTTATTTTCTTATTATTTCTATTGTTAGTTTTTGTTTGATGTCTCGTTTTTTTCCTGTGTCCTATTTTTTTTTCAGCTTCTGTCATATCTCATAAAACATTCACAAATAAGTCTTTTATTTCCCTGCTGTTCAATACTGATTTGTCTATCAGTCTAATTGTTTATCTACATATCCATCTATCTATTTGCCTCTATGTCAGTCTACTGTTCTATCTACCTACCTGTCTATATATATCCATATCAATCTATCCATCCATCCATCTATTTATGTATCCATACATCTATCCATCTATGTCAGTCTACTGATCTACCTACCAACCTATCTATCTATCTACTTATCTATCTATCTATCTATCTACCTACCTACCTATACATCTCCCTCCCTTTTCCCCACCACCAGCTCTTCCTCACCCCCATCTAACAATAATAAAAAAAAATCATTACTTACATTATGTCTCGGTCGGGTATGGTCGGACAAAGCGTGGGTATTAGAGGCAGTTCGGTCCGACTGCGTTGTGTAAACTGTCGGTGCTCTCGTACCTATCACTTCCAGGGGCGGGACACCTGTTGTGAGAAAAAAATAATTATGGTTTTAATTAGTTTGAATGACTGTGGTAAAGTTTAATTTTTGTGTGTTTCTGGCGATTTGTGTGTGTGTGTGTGTGTGTGTGTGTGTGTGTGTGTGTGTGTGTGTGTGTGTGTGTGTGTGTGTGTGTGTGTGTGTGTGTGTGTGTGTTTGTGTGTGTGTGTGTGTGTGTGTGTGTGTGTTTATTTCTATGAGTATATATGAAAATGAGAGTAGTATCTGTGTATTGTACACAATATTAACTGATTAAAATAAATAGGATAAGTCTGCTTATGTCCCTAAATGCTCAGACTATTAGAATAAATTAACAAATGCCAACAAAGACTTCATCGTAAATCAAAATAAAAAATCAAGTGATAACATACGCCAGCAACCTAAAAATACCATAACACAGACGCCAGACACACCCCCACCCTTCCCCCATGTAAGCTGGGACCGTCACGTAATCACACACTGAAGAAATGACAGTGATAAGACCGTGTTAATAACGCCAAAGTGGCAATAATGCTATCTTTCGCGCGTGTGGCTACAGTGTACCCGAGACGCTACCTTGCGAACGAAGGCAGGAAATTCTAAATGTTTCCATCATCTCTCTCTTCTTTATGTCAGTTAACTTTGAAAATAAAGAACCTGACTGATATTGCCACAAATACTAATTGTAGTAAACAAAAGGCAGTTAATAAGTTATAGAATTTACATGCATAAAAGTAATTAATTAATATAATATACACAAAAGACGAATCTGTGTGCGTACATGTATATGCATATTAATCTATATCTATCTATATATATATGTATATATATTTGTATATGGTAGAGAGAGAGAGAGAGAGAGAGAGAGATAGAGATAGAGATAGAGATAGAGATAGAGATAGAGATAGAGATAGAGATAGAGATAGAGATAGAGATAGAGATAGAGATAGAGATAGAGAGCGAGAGAGAGAGAGAGATAGATAGATAGAGAGAGAGAGAGAGAGAGAGAGAGAGAGAGAGAGAGAGAGAGAGAGAGAGAGAGAGAGAGAGAGAGAGAGAGAGAGAGAGAGAGAGAATGTATGCAATCATGCTTTTATATATGCCTTTACACCGAAAGTAATGCTAGCATTGAAAACTATTCGATACAATCTCAGTACCCCCCCCCTACACCTTCTCACCCAACTCAACGCCATCTCCTGTTATCTCCCAGTAACCAAAGAGACGAAATAACACTCACACATATATGGCAAGTCATCGTTTAGCAACATCTGCTGAACGCAACTTAAACAAACCCAAGTCTACAGGACGCGCTTCGCTTAATTTTGGTTACCATACAAGGCTTAAAGTCACAGTTAGTTACGCTCTGAAACGATAAAGACCTTTAAATATTAGCGGATCTTTGCCTCAGACCGCCAAAAAAAGTTCACATATGTTCACACTGTTCTGAGCAAAAGACGCGTTGATATAAGGAACGACCGAATAACGTAATTACGGTTATTTTACTCTATTTTCCTACGTATGCGAAAGGAGGTAGTTACGCATAACAACAATAGATTCACAGACACCCGAGGAGAAGGTGGGATACGGTTAAGGTTAACGTGTTTGTGGATTTTGGAACTGAAATCATGAGAAGTTTGGAACAATAGGTAAATAACTACGGTCTGCACGGAAATGTTGATGAAATGTGTGTGGGTTCGTACGTTTTGGAACTAATATTATGAAGGTTATGGAACGATAAATAAATATACAGAATTATTAATGAAATAGGTTTAAGGTTTATGAATGTTTAAGTTCTGGTGCTAAAATTATGAGGTACTATGGCCAATGAATAAATAAATATCTATGACATATTAATGAAATGAGCTTGAGCTATAGATAATGATAATACAGTTAATATATTCACCATAAATAATATATGGGACACGTAAGTTGGGATTTTTTTTTTTTTTTTTTTTTTTTTGCAAGGAATCGGATTTTTAAAAAAATGGTACTGTAGGTAATAATTATCTTATTGGTAATTATAAAGCTGATATTATAGTAACAGTTATGGCAACAATAATAAACTAATATTGATAATATGAATATCGTGAGAAATAATTTTGTGACATGTTAGTAGTAAATGTCATTATGAATTCCATAACATGTTGAATCATGGTTCTATGACCAGACACAAGTTAATCAATACTAAACGATCTTACATATATGTACACACACATACATACATATAATATATTTGAGATTTCGTAAGGCTGCGTTAGTACATGATTCCAGTGAAATAGAATACTTCTGTAATTCAATGCATTTTTGTGTTTGTGCACGCTTGTGTGATTGTCTGTAAGTAGGGACAATTATAACTTTGACCAGCATATACAAGAGAACATTGCTCATGTATCATATTGTTTACACTTGCAAGCTTCGCGTTGAGCACGAGTGAATAAGTGCTAGTGTGCATGTGTATGTGTGTGCCTGAGTGTGTGCGTGAGTGTGTGTATGTATGTGTGCCTGAGTGTGTGCGTGAGTGTGTGTATGTATGTGTGCGTGAGTGTGTGTATGTATGTGTGCGTGAGTGTGTGTATGTATGTGTGCCTGAGTGTGTGCGTGAGTGTGTGTATGTATGTGTGCGTGAGTGTGTGTATGTGTGTGTGCGTGCGTAAGTGTGTGTGCGTGAGTATGTGAATGTGAGTGTATGTGTGAGTTTGAGTGCGAGTGAGCCAAGCGGGAGTCGTAACGCTTCACCCCCGTCGACATCCGAGGCCACACTGACAATCTGGTGATCAGGGGAGGACGCGAAGGCACAGTTAGACTAGCTAGCAGGATGCCAATGTCGTATGCGTTGGTTCAATTGGTTTTTTTTTTCGTCTGAGTACTGGCTTAGATTGTTCATATTTTCATAGCTACTGCGGTTAAGATGACGGTTGCCAGGTATTAGACAGATGTCGGGGAGTCGTGAGCTGTTATTTGGGATTTCTCAGTGTGTCATATTGTAGTGCAATATATCGCATAAGCCGGTGTATTGGCTGTATTATACATATATTGATATATATACATACATATATGTGTATATGTATATATATACATATGTATGAATATCTATATATATGTATATATACATACAAATATGTGTTTATAAACACATTTATATACAAATACACACACACACACACATACACATACACACACACACACATACACACACACATATATATATGTATGTATATATGTATATATGTATGTAAGTGTATATATATATATATATATATATATATATATATATATATATATATATATACATACATACACTCACTCACACAAGTACTGGGCCATGGCTAAAGGACACCATCCTGGACCTCTCTCTCACCTACTAATGTAACACATACTTATGTGCATATAATTATACATACACATAAATATAAGAGGGGGGAGGGAGAGGGAGAGAGAGGGATAAAGAGAGAGGGGGGGGGAGAGGGAGAGGGAGAGTGAGAGTGAGAGAGAGAGGGGAAGAAAGAGAGGGAGAGAGAGAGGGGGGGAGGCAGAGAGAGAGAGAGAGAGGGGGGGGGGAAGAGAGAGAGAGAGAGAGAGAGAGAGAGAGAGAGAGAGAGAGAGAGAGAGAGAGAGAGAGAGAGAGAGAGAGAGAGAGAGAGAGAGAGAGAGAGGGAGAGAGAGGGAGAGAGAGGGAGAGAGAGAGAGAGAGAGGGAGAGATAGAGGGAGGGAGGGAGAGAGA